TAATTTTTTTTACAGTGCATGTGTTGTCATGATAGTAAATCCTTATTGAAGGACGTCCTGCCATCACTCTGTAGCCTGACGTTGTCACATTAAACGTCGGCGTAACGGATGATCAGGCGTTCAGAGATGAGCGATGACAGTCTTTGGTCTCTGCGTAGAGAAAGTTGGTGAGAAAAACAGCACCGTACGTGAGACGTGATTGTAGATTGGAGTCTGTAGCCTTGGCTGAAATGATTCTGTCAAGACGAAGACACTTGTCAGGAGTCATGGGATGCTCCATGTATACGTTATCCTGCATGTGTGCGTACACGCTGTCGGCCCATGCGTGTACGGATGACGTGCTGACACATGGCTTCAGGGCTCTGAAAAGAGCTCTTTTCTTCCTTTGAAGCTAAATGAAGCAGGGAAGCCGTGGCAGCTTCCAGCAGACAGCCGCATTTGTCTCTGTTCATTGTGCCTCAGCTCTCTCAAGCCATCTCCCATACGCACCGCAGCCCTGAACTTCTCCAGACATCGACCCGGAGGAGCTGTTTGTGAGGCGAGCGGACATTAAACAGGACGTTAAAGAGACGCTACAGAGAAATGACACAGATGGACGGAGATGGGAAAGAGAGAGGGATGATTTATGCTGAAACAAATGATACTCAAAGAACATTTGATGGAATGAAGAGGCCCTTCACGCCCACTCTCCACCGCTACACCATTAAAAAGGCCCAAAACCAGAATCAATACTGCTATTCTCTCTGATTTCCCAAAGTGCATGCCAAACCACATCAGGCCACGGCGATGAGGGGGGCATTAAGCATAATGCAGCTACCAGCTACCACCTCCCAGGTCGGACGCAGAGAAAAGCTGGAAGTAATACATTCAATAAATGAATAAAATCCTTTCCCGTGCTTGCCACCAGCTGTCCCTAAAGGACCCTCTCACTCTCTGCTATGATCCTCAACACTCCTGTCCTTCCCAACTCCGAGTCCTCTGCACCCTGCCTCTGGTCTGCTGGCTGATCTTCAGTACCCTCTAGGGGAAGTCTCCGGTAATCTGAGGCCGCTTTTCTTGCCTTTCACACTTAAGCACAAGAAGCATCTGTGCTCATTAGGAGGGAATCGATGGCAGGCTTACCTTCTCTGGCCAGTATGGAAGCTGGCTGCCATCTCTGTGCTTTGACTTTTTGTGCACATGACTTTTACAGTTTTACAGGATGAGCGCCGTGTTTCAGGCAGTCTGATGCTGAGGAGCTGCTGCCTGTGTTTCCGCCGCTGCACGTCTTTAGGGTTGTGTAGCAACAACTGCAGGGTGACTGCCTCCAGCACTCTTGCGGGATATCAGTCTGCTTGCCAAGTCCCTCCTGATTTGGCTGTAATTAACGAGGCTGAGCCTTGTTTGTGCATGTGGACATGAATAGTAGCTTGTTATCTGAACATTAATGGCTCGGCGTGTGAGCGTGTGAGCTGTGCACGGCCCATAGTTCACCTTGGAACAGCGCCCCGGCAGCTGTGTGTCCTCTGGAGCGCTGCTTATGTTGGTATCAATACATCCTCTTGCAATCTTGGTTCAGGACGCTTCCCCCCCTCCCCCTGCAGGCCTGCCTCACAGCTTTACATGACCAAACGTGTGATGTCTGAATCTGCCAACAACCCACCTTTCAAGTGTCACATTTGGATCCGAGCCACTGCCATTTCCCTTCCTCTCAGGCTGGAGTTAGGAAAATACAGCACAAGATATTTTAAATTGGGCCGCCGCTATAGCTCAACTGGTTGAGCTGGCAACCCATCTACAGGGCTCTAGTCCCTGACGCAGCGGTCATGGGTTTGAATCCCGCTCATGGCCCTTTGCTGCAGGTCCTTCCCCTACTTTCCTGTCTCTCTCTTCACTGTCCTAAACAATAAACGGGGAAAAGGCCAAAGAATAACTTAAAAAAAAGATATTATTATTATAAATCCATCCATCATCTCTACACCTTAATCCTCACTAGGGTCATGGGGGGCGGAGCCTATCCCAGTTGACTCAGGGTGAAGGCAGGTTCACCTGAACAGGTAACCAGTCTATCACAGGGCTACACTTAGAGACAGACAACCAAGCACACTCACATTCACACCTACGGACAATTTAGAATCACCAATTAACCTCAGCATGTTTCTGGACTGTGGGAGGAAGCCGGAGAACCCGGAGAGAACCCACGCTGCACGGGGAGAACATGGAGACTCTACGCAGAAAGATCCCGGGTGTCCTCACCGGGATGCCAACCGGCGACCTTCTAGCTGTGAGGCCACGGTGCTAACCACCAAGACACCTGCAGCCCTGAGAAAATACAGTACAAGATATTTTAAGTGAACCGCTAAAAAAAAAAAAAAGAGAGCGCGGTGATAGCTGAAGATAGTCTTTAATGGTTTGACCTTGGTGTCTCTCCTCGCTAGGACAAAAGTTCACCTGCAAAATGAAGGAACAATGAACAGTATACAGAGAACATGTTAAACCCATTTGCCATCCATTAAAAGTTGATTTATTCCAGTGCTACTACGTACATTATGCATCATGTGGCAGTGTACACAGAACAATGATTGGGATACATCTTTTCAGTTTGGGGGTTTTTCACTCTTGTTGTTCAGCAGAAGTGTGTTCTGATGCCTGCTCTATGAGGAAAGCCTACTTCTCAGGATAATAAAAGACTCTGGGATGCATTTATCACTTGGACTCATCTACCATCATCGGAACAACATCATGAATGTCCCTCACTTCACTACAAAATACTGTGTTTTCTTTTTTTCTTCTTCTAGTGGAGGAAATCGGGTCAGTAGATATTGGAATGATATTTTGGCAGGTCTTTGTCAATAAAAAACAAACAACAGAGTAAAAAAAAAAAAAAAAGAAAGAAAGAAAAAACAGAACCTGGATTATATTTCCCACCTGCAAGTGTGAAATTAATAAAATGGTTTATGTTGCCAGACTGGCTAACCCTCCCCGCGTCCTCGCTGGGCCTTGTTTTTCTGGTACATCCCTGCAGCATGCTGTGCGTTGTACCCGGCCACCTTTACCCCCGCCGTTCACCATTTGTCCTGTTTAATTGGCGACATCTACAATGAGGTCATATTTACAGGACACCCACTCTCGCTGTTCGCGGCCTCCCCCCTCCCCCCTCTGAGCCGGATGTCTGCCGGTAAACGAGCTCCGGCTCTTTCCTGCTGCCTGATGAAGGATGAAGTCCTTAACACCGGCACCGGCGCCGCTCTCCGGGGACAACGCTCCGGCATCTGCGATCCTTCCTGGTGTAACTGAATATTACACACTGAGTGCAAAATGGAACACGACCTGGGGTTCCCTCCGATACTTCCTCTCTTTCTTTTTCTTTTTTTTTTGTTGAACCACTTATGGGTCTCTGCTGCCGGGCCTCTTTGTGTATCGGGGACGGATGTTCTTAATGATGACAGATGCCAAACGTGAGGCTTAAACCTCGGGTGTAATGAACAGGTGGAAACCTTAGATACGGACGGGCAGGTGTGGTCGTAATCAAGCAGATAGCCTTCCGTTAACTGGTCGGGTGACACTGATTGAAACGGAGACAGGGATGGATCCCTGCATGGGCCGGCGGCGTGTAACACTGTGTGGGAAGTGGCTGGAGGTGGGGGCAGTAAGGAGTCATGCTTCATCAACTCAAGTTGAAAGGAAAAAAAACTAATATTCATGCTTGATTAAGTTCCACTCGTAGCAAACTGAATATGTTCTTAAATGAAGAGCTCTCTGGACGGTCCAGAGCCTGTGGGAGAGTGGACTCGCTCACCGTCTCACAGGGTTTGACTTAGACCCAGTTAAGCCTGAAGCAGCTCGGAAATAATTAAGACCCAGGAAATAATAATGATCCTATTTGTCCGTTAGCTTAAGGGGCCATAAAGATGATTTTTTTTCTCTTTTTTTTAGCACTAACATCCTTGTGGGACTCAGATTATCTACCATTCAAACTACAGCATGCTAGCCCGCTAACCCGCTGACTCTCTCTCCTGCATGTGCTCCGGGAACATTCTGAATACTCGTCTTCAAAGCAAAGTCATCACAACTCTAGGATGCGTCATACACCATGTCGTTGATATTTCATCTATTTTTATCATTTGGAAAGACAAAACAGAGGTCTTCTGCTTTCCTGCTGAGCTACCTTCAGGTCTGTGGCGTGAACGTGGATCTAGCGGTCAGCTCAGTTGGCTGGTCAGGGAGTCACTGTCCATCAGACTACTACGGGTCACCCCTACACCTGCAGATATAATAGATCTAGTATAACAGCGTTGGTCATTAGTAGTGATAGCGGGCAGGCGTTGGGCTGAGCCAGGCTAACTGCTAGCTGCTGACGTTAAACTGGAGTTTGCAGGTTTACTGGAGGGGACGCAGTGACTTCCTAAAGCTAACCAGCCGGCTAAGTTAATCTAAAGCTAACGAGTACCGACATGACGGCGGTAACGGTAACCAGCAAGAAAGCAAAAACAAAGTGCTTCTTCCAAAACGTCAGACTACTCCTTCACATCTTCACTGTTCTGTAACCGGCAGAGTTTCTGCAGAACTTTTTATTCAGATCCTTTCTGGACTTGTTTTGTAATAGAGATTTTTTTTTCCTCACCTCGTATCGCAAACAGGGAATGCAATTACAGAATCACGTTCCTGCAACTCGAAAGAACCCAAAGTATCCAAAAAAAAAAGGAAATTAGTAAAAAATTGTTAAAAAATTAATAAAGAAAGAAAAAATAACAAAGAAAGAAAAGTAAACACAGTAAACTGAAACTGGTGTAAATAATGGAGCCGCTGTCAGCGTCTGCACAGAACCATGCACAGGAGCCTGGTTAGCTCCTCAGCTGGACCGGTGATGTGCGCCGTGTGGCCGTGAACCAGCAGACCTGGAGCCATGCCGTCTTCTGAAGACCACGGGAAGCTCTAATTAGTGTTGGTGAGGAAGGTAGACCACTACGTACGTCATCGTGTGTGTGTGAGTGTGTGTGTGTGTGTGTGTGTGTGTGTGTGCAGCATCGAGCTAAACGTGAACTCAGACAAATACACTCTCAGCCCGACTCACTGCCGCTTACGCTCCGATCCGTTTCATTTCTCGCTGTGTTAGTAGAAATAGAACAAAGAAAAAAAAAAGGTTTTTAAACATTTAGAGTTGCGGCGTAATGGAGGCAATGTTATGCAGTACATTAAGACATTTTCTTTAAATTTTTGGAGAGGAATGTATCTGAAAAAGGAATGCAATGCTGTATTCAGACTGTTAACATCGTAAAAAAGCTCTGAAATTAGTAATTAAATAACCCTCTACTATTTATACATTCAGGCACTGAAAAATCACATGTCAATATGTAACTAAAAAAGATAGTCGCTCTCTTTTTTCCCTTGGTAAGAACAAGGAAGCTGATACCTTGAAGTTGGCAATTGTGTAAAGTTTTCCTACCCAGTAGTAATGCCGTATGCATCCCCTTTGCTATTCTTCTGTGTGACAGTTTCCCCTTTAAGTGCATTTTCAAACACTGACCTGAAGTCAGCGCTTCCACAGCCTCTCCTAAAGCTTTCACCCTGACCTATGGGAAAGAATCCATGACACTAGTCTTTTGAAAGGGAAATCCAATGGTTTGTCTCTCCTCACCGGACAAACAGACGACGGACGGATGGGTGGACAGGTGTCCTCCAGGCCTCAGAGGCTCTCGGCTCCACAGACCAACTTCCCCCTCGTGGTTAAGGACTCTCCGGTGTGACAGCCAGCTCTCACCCCAGCGACCCTGAACTCAGTCGTTTTTTAACTATACAAGGGCTTTTACAAAAAAGCTAACTTGGACAGCCATACAATGGCTAAAACATAAACCATATCTCTACTTTATCTCGGTTTTTCAGTCGTTTTTAATTTTTTTTTTCTCTTTTTCTTTTTTTGGATGCATTTGTGTTTTTTCTTGGTTTAAGTCTTGTTTGCCGTCTTTGTTCTTTCCGAGTAGCTCTGATCCAAGCTGTGCTGAGAGGCTCAGTCACAGAGGAACTGGTTTTTGGATTTTTTGTCGGGCGGGAGGAAGGAAGGACGGAGGGGATGAGTGTGGAGGCAAGAATAAGGGCAGGAATCAGGTCAGGGGTCAGGATGTGGGTTCATTACCAGTCCAGACATGGACTCGCCAGCGGACACAGGGACAGCTTTGGACGGGACAGAATGAGGTGACGAGGCGTCGGTTCTGGGGAAGGCGGAGCCTGAAGGTGACTACAGAGGGTCTGTCAAGGTTATCCGCTGTCGGAGGAGGTGTGTGGTGCTGTGGAGGGAGAGCGCCGCCTTCGGGCGGTGGAAGTCCAGGATCGCTCAGAGCGTTCAGAACGCTCGGAGGCTAGCGAAGCGGGACGAAAGCGGTGAACAAAGCCGTCCAGGAAGTCCTGCTGCTGCTGGGTTATGGCTTGGGAGATGAGGCAGGGCAGCGCCTGCAGGCTGCCCGTCACCGAGTCCAGCTTGTCCTCCAATGTGCCGATGCGCTTGTCCAGCTCCTCGCTGCGCTCCTGCAGCTCTGACACCAGGTCATACATCACATTCTGGGTCTAATGAAGGAGAGAAAGTAAATGTGTTTGGGAGACGCAGGAACAGGAGGACAGAGCGGGAGGTGGAGGTGGAGGAGGGCGGAGCAAAGACAGACAAGATAAAAACAATAGAAAAGCTGCTGCACAACTTTATGTCACCAGCTGGAGATGCAGAGTGTACACAGCGCCAGAGAAATGTAATAGAGTAATGGCTCGTCATAAATCCCATCAGTAGACGGTCCAAGTCGGACTTAGTCAGGATAAAGAAAAGGAAATAATGACAGGAAGCAGGATGAAGACGAGCGGTACCGGTCCAGCCAGTCAGCCCAGACTTTATCTTTCCATAGATTGAACCACCGGCCTGTCCAGCCCCATACAGCCAGAGGAGGCTTTAATGCTTCATGTACCTGCCTGACACGACTCATTCATGTAATGAGAAGAGCATCCATTATATTTATTGGCCCACAGTGGATGCAGCAGCCGGCAGCGTTGCATGATGGGATATCTGCAAATCACTCTCGTGTTTAGAATGTGTCAGTTTTCTATGTTCAGAAACACGTGTTGTTCTTTATTCTGATGAATTACAGCGGACGTGCAATTTACCTGTCAGGTTTCATAAATGAGCCGCTCCAGGTCCACGGGTCTTCCCCGCATCAATTACATGTTTAGACCACAGGGCTCCTTCTCTATAGGGCTCAGAGAGGCTGCTGCATGCAGACGGACGCGACCATCGAGCTCAGCAAGGGCCGGCAAACACACATTAAAGGGGTCGGCCGGGAAACCCTTTATAATACACACTGGGCTCCAAATGCCATCCACATCAATGGAGCTGCAGGCATGCACCTCCCTTTGAAGCCGCTCTCTGCAGCAGGACAGCAGCTACTGAGGCATGACTGTTCACCCTCCTACAGACCGACACTGTTCACAGCCTGTGCTCAGGTTCTGGTTCTGGCTCTGGCTCTCCACAGTGATTCGGTAGTCCTGCAGTAAGGCCTGAGCTCTGTAGGCTGAACTTAGATGTAAGCTGCTCTTTATGGTCTGTGGTGCTCCTAGAGCTCATGCCAGGGATGATGATCTAAGTGGTGACTGCTCAGCGCTCTGACATTGATCTCTCCTGACGCGGTAAACACGAGGGCAGCACCAGCGCTTTGATATGATAAATAAAGGGTAATTCAGAGTGTTTCCTGAAGGCCCCCTGTGGAGCCTCCAGAGCGGTCCCTGGCTCCGCTGCTATGAAGCACACCATACACATGTGGATGGTTTCACACTCCTTCACTGATCGATAAAGTCAGTGCCAAGAGGTGCAGCTGTCGGCCCACAGGGGCAGAACCAGATGAAGACTGCCTGCAAACAGTTCAGCTGTGCAAAGAAAAGCAGCAGATCCATTCACAGCTTCTAGTCGGCCTCTAGGAGGATGAACACGAGTGATCTGGGCCAGAAACAAAGAACGTAAACATGACTTTTAATATAGAAGGAGAACCAGAAGAAACAAGTTCTACCCTAAATGGTGAAACCTGGTGTCAGGTGTTTGTTTCTCCTACTTTTCAACAGGTGAGTTCTTTATCTTTAACTTCATGTAACACCAGAATCATCAGCACACCCAGACAAGCAGCTGGAGAAAGCTTTTAGTGTCATTTACTGTCAACAGCGAGAACACAGCGATAAGGTCGTGTTGGGGTTTTAGCCCCTCAGCTCGCTGACAGCTGAGGAAAGCCTCCATCTGTTGGACCCGTCCTGATAAAGGACCATCCACTGAATCCAGTTAAATACAGGAAGAACACTGGAATCAGCAGTGACAGTCTCAGACATCAATGGAACATACCAGACTGTTTGATGTCACTGACGTTGTGGCATTTATGGTGTTTTGTGGTTGTCATAAACTTGGAGAAGTAAAAGCTGTTTAGATCTGAAAACCTTTACTTCTGTCAGTCCTTGAGCCTCTCAGCTTTACAAGTCAATGAAAACTTTACTGAGCTGCGACAGAGGAACCGGCAGCCGTCCAGACCCAGAGTAAGCCGGCCTCCCACTGCCCAGAGTGAACCCTTCAGTCGACGTATCAGCCGCATCACATTTAAATTCACACTGAAATAGTCAACGTATAAGCAAAGCGTCTGTAGAACTATCAACTATGGACTAAAATGACTGGTTAGATGTTAAACAGTGACATTTCTTCATGTTTCCGGATATCAGAAAGAGCAGAGCTAGCTGCTTCTGCCTGTTTCCAGTCTTTATGCTAAGCTAAGCTAACAGTCTCCTGATTCCAGCGGTATCTTTGAAGGCTCTATATGGTGGCAGGTAGTTATCTGAGTTTTGTGGTTGTTCTAAACTTGGAGGTAAAGTAAAAGCTGTTCATCTATGAGGATGAATATTCCTGCTGCTGTAGCTCAACAGGTGGGCCTTTAAAAATAATTTTATATATTTTTAAAAATGTGTTTATTTTAATTATTTTATTATAATTATTTGATTACTGTTATTTATGTATTTATTTTAAAATATTTTAAAATATATTTTAATGTATTTTTGTTTTATTTTGTTTATTATTTTATTATTATTTATTTAAAATATTTCAATACATGTTTAATGTATTTTTATTTTTATTATTATTTATTTAAAATATTTTTAAATTTATTTTTATCATTTTATTATTATTTGATAATTGTTATTTATGTTAACATATTTTTAATATATTTAATTAAATGTATTTTTTATTTCATTCTAATTTTTAAAAAATGCATCTCAAACAAGAGCTCGTGTCTTAAGAGATTAAAGTAAGTAATAAACTTTAATGAGAGTTACAGACCATTTAGGGTGACAGGACACAGTAGGATCTTTAAAACTGAACTCAGAAGACTCACCTTCGCCAGGTCCACCAAGGTGTTGGCCTGATCATTGAGCTTCCTCTGCTCCATCTTCACACTGCGCAGTCTGAGTGGGGGCACAGGGAGATGTGAACAGGAAAAGGAGGGAAGGAGGAGGTGCAAATAGGAGAGACAGAAGGAGGCGAGGAAGAGGAGGAGAGGAGAGAGTAAAGGTACAGAGTGAAGGAGGACGTTGGCAGGAGTGGAGCACAGAGAGACGGGTTGTTTGGGACAGAGGAGGAGGAACAACACATGTTTGATCAGGACTGGTCTCATTGATGGTACTGAGAAGAGTGAGAGACATGCATCGTCATATGTGTCCTTCACATATCTATATGTACACATATATACAGAAAGACGCATATATATGTATAGATATATATATGTAGACAAGCATTCCTGGTCTTGGTCAATACGATGCCAACCAAAACATGCAACATTACAGAAGCATACTACACTCACCTAAGAAAAAATAGAGATTGCATTTATCACGTTTTATCTGCGTCTTTTTTTTGGCATAACAAGATCTTTTTCTTCTAAGTGCAGCGCATTTCTGTTGTCATAAGAAATAGTTTTAAAACTGAGAAATGATCTTCTTACAACCAAAAAAGAATCTGTTTTTGAATTAGAGTGAAAAGATCTCAATAAATTGGAAAACAAACATATATATCTATATCTATATATAAAATAGCATTACTATGACAAAACAGTATTTTTTCCGGCAAGAGTGCAATATGCTTCCAAACAAGAAAATCCCAAAACCTGTTTGAAATCAAAACATTCCATCTCTTTCCAGCCAAAAGTCAGACGTTTAAACAAAGGAAGAAGATGGCATGCCCCTGGTCAGTGCTACACACAGCTCAGTGGCAGGACTTCATGTCGACACACTGGTCACTCGGTAAGCGTGCAGTGACTATGGCTGACTTTGTGCACAATGACACGTGAGTTGAGCATTTTGTCGTGCTGGAGTTTGAGTGTGTGTTTGTGTACGTGTGTGTGTGTGTGTGTGTGTGTGTGTGTGTGTGTGCGGATGCCACAGATAAAAGATGAAGCATTGGCAGAAATCAAACCGTCTGCAGCACACGGCAACATGGACGTCTTAAATAAGTGGCGTGATGGTGCGTTGGACGTGTTTTGTGATGCCTTCACGTGGCTCCTCCTCATTGCTAATCCAATGCATCGTGGCGCTGTGAGGACCGTCGACGCTGATGTGAATAATGTGCCATTGTTAGCGGTGGCCATCGTCTGAATGTGTGAGAGGAAGAATTTCCCTCTTTGGCAAATTATGAGCCAGGATGACATTCAAGGGCATTTATTCATGTGCAAATCAGGATATCAGAGCAGAGTGAGGCTGCTCGCTTACGGCTCTATCTCTGTGGGAAACCGCCTCGGCTCGTGTGTGTCTGTTTGCTCGGCTTTGTCACCCCTTATGGCTGTCGAGGAACAGGGGCTAGAAGCTAAAAATTTATTAGCGTAGCACGGGGATCTCCAGCTCTGGTCCTGGTGAGCTGCTGTCCTGCAGGTTGTAGACGCTACCTGACTCACATTAATGGATCAAGTTCATCCATCATCTCTACACCTTAATCCTCACTAGGGTGCTGGGGGCGGAGCCTATCCCAGCTGACTCAGGGTGAAGGCAGGTTCACCTGGACAGGTAACCAGTCTATCACAGGGCTACACTTAGAGACAGACAACCAAG